ACAAAAAAAAAAAAAAAAAAAAAAAAAAAAAAAACCTACACTAGATAGTCACTATAATAAATATTTCATAATAATGGTGTGGAGAGGATGGCTGTAAGGGGAGAAGGGAGGCCATCAAAAAAAAAAAAAAAAAAAAAAAAAAAAAGAGAAGGTCCATGAAGTACTTTGTATTTCTTCTACCCTCTCGATGACATCACTGGTTGAGGTCAACAGCACCCCACCTTCACTGAACACAGTGTTAATAAGGCGTTGCTTTCCCCTCCTCAGCTGCCTCTCAGTTTGCCAGAATCTCCTTGGAGCTGACCAAAAGTCTCTATCCATGTCCTCACCGATCTCTTCCCACATCCGAGCTTTTGCCTCAGCAACAGTCAAGACTACGGTCCGTTTGGCCGTCCAGTACTCCTCGTTTGCCCCCTCAGTCCCATCGGCCCACAAGGTCCGATAGGACTCCTTCAGCTTGACAGCCTCTCTAATCCGGAGTTTTCACCACCGAGTTTGATGATGGCTGCCGTGAGAAGCACCGACAACCACAGCCATAGCTCAGAGTCAGAGTTTCTTTATTGTCATTTGTATCACATGTGGTACATGTGGTGGACCAAGATTATGTATGCAGGGTCCCAGTTACATCCAACAATAAAATGTAAAAGAAAAACAGTAATAAGATCTAAAGTATGAACTAAGAAGGCAACTATCTAAACAAATGAGGCGTGGAACATGGCCCACTCTGACTCAATGCCCCCCACCTCAGCTGGGATGTGCTGTTAAAGTTCTCCTGAAGGTGTGAGTTGATATTCTTTCTGACGGGTTCTTCTACCATCACTACACGTGTGGGTCTACCGGGTCTACAGTATATGGCATCTTCCCCTGCCATCTGATCCATCTCACTGCCAGGTGATGATCAGTTGACAGCTTAGCTCCTCTCTTCACCAGAGTGTCCAAAACAAACAACCACAAATCAGATGACATGACTACAAGTCAATCATCGATCTAGAACCTAGGGTGTTCTAGTGCCAAGTGTACTTATGGACAAGCTTATTTTCGAATATGGTGTTAATGATGGACAAACTATGACTAACACAGAAGTCCAACAACAGAACACAGCTTGGGTTCAGATTAGAAAGGCCATTCCTCCCAATCCCGCCCCTCCGGGTCACACTACCCACGTGGGCATTGAAGTCCCCCAGCAGAATAAAGAAGTCCCCATCTGATGCACCTTCCAGCACCTCCGCCAAGGACTCCAAGAAGGCTGGGTACTCTGAACTGCCATTTGGTGTATAGGAACAAACAACAGTGAGAGCCTGTCCCCCCCACCTTAAGGCATAAGGAAGCCACCGGGGAAAACTTCAACACACAGACACCAAGTCAGGGGGCTAAGAGTAGACCCACACCAGCTCTGCACCTCTCACCATGGGCAACTCCAGAGTGGAATAAGGTCCAGCCCCTTTCAAGGAGATTGGTTCCGGAGTCCATGCTGTGCGTCAAGGTGAGCCCAACTATATCTAGTGGGTACCTCTCAATCTCACACACAAGCTCAGGCTCCTTCCCTGCCAGAGAGGTTACGTTCCATGTCCCAAGAGCCAGCTTTGGTAAGCCAGGGTCAGAGTGCTAAGGCTGCCGCCTTCGGCTACTGCCCATGGCATCATGCACCCGACTTGTATGGCCCCTCCTGCAGGTGGTGGACCCACAAGAAAATGTATTTTCAAACAAATGCAAAAGGAAGTCCAATTGCCTTTTTATGGTGATGGAGGGCTAATGCTGAGGGCTTGTTTTGTTACCACAGGAATTGGTCATCTTACAGTCATTGAGTTGACCATGAACTCCTCTGTAGACCAAAGGAATCTGGAGTCAAATCTGAGATTACCTATCTGACAACTGAAGCTTTGAGCAAACTTTGTCATGATGCAACAGAACAATGATCTCAAAGACAACCGTTAATCTACAGCAAAATGACAGAAAGAATGTTTAAGGTTTTTCAGTCAGAGTGGACTTAGTCCCCCCCCCCCACACACACACACAGCTTCTCTAGTTTCGCTTTGTTTTCTAATAAATAATGGTAATGACCCATCATGATGTATTGTTTTTCTTTCTGGGGTTGTGTTTAAGCTTACAATCCAGAGTGTTTTTTAATTATTTGTTTGCTCTAATTACAAAATCCTATAAATAAATAAATAATATTAATATAATAATATTAGATATAAATAATCATGTTTCTTCTGAATAAAAGTGTGTGATTAAGAAGTCAGAGCACTTGTCCATAAAAACTACTGTATTGTCTCATGTATGTCATAATTCAGTTAAAAATTGTGTTTAGCTGCTAAGAATGTATTTAAAAATTTCCACCCGATCTTTTGGTAAGATTTCAAGGTATTCCAAAAAAGTTAAGTCAGGTCCTCTGGATGAAAAAAAAAAACTTGTTGAAACTTGTCACTTAGAATGTTTCCAAATATCTTGAGTGGCGTCTGTACTCATCCCTTTAGTTGGCAGCTCAGAACACCACATACAGAACACCATGGACTTTGTGGATAAGGTGAGGGATGTCATCATGGAGACTGATGAAACAATGGTCTCTTTTGATGTCACATCACTCTTTACGTGCATTCCTGTTGATGATGCAGTAGAGGTGGTCAGTTTAAGATTAAAATCAGACACCACTCTGAGCAGCAGGACCACACTTTCCACAGAACAACTGGGTCAACTCTTGAAACTGTGCCTGCAGTCAACCTACTTCACATTTGGGGGGCAATATTATAGGCAGAGACATGGGTGTGCTATGGGGTCTCCAGTTTCTCCTATTGTTGCCAACCTGTACATGGAGGAGGTAGAAAAGAGAGCCTTGACGTCATTTTCAGGGACACCACCAAGTCATTGGTTCAGGTATGTTGACAACACCTGGGTTAAAATTAAATCTCTGGAAGTCCAACATTTTACTGACCACATCAACTGTGTGGATAAATACATCAAGTTCACACGAGAAGATGTAAAAAATGGCAGGTTGGCTTTCTTGGACTGTGAGGTCTCAGTCTCTGATAGAGGACATTTGCAAACTGAGGTGTACCGCAAACCCACCCACACAGACCAGTATTTGCAGTTTGACTCCCATCACCCTTTGGAGCACAAGTTAGGAGTCATTAGGACTCTGTACCACAGAGCAGACAGCGTCCCCACTAGCTCAGGAGCCAGGCAGAAGGAGAAATCCTACACAAGACAGGCTCTAGAGCAATGTGGATATCCTAACTGGGCCTTCCTGAAAGCAGAGAGGAAAAACAAACAGGACTCCAGTCAGCCAACAGGTGAAAAGGAGGAACCCAGACCCAGACCAGTGGTCATTCCATATGTTGAGGGAGTATCAAGAGAAACTGAGACGTTTATTTTCTAAACATAACGTCCCAGTGGCTTTTAAACCCCAAAATACATTATGGCAAAGACTGGTTCATCCCAGAGATCCAGTCCCCCGGCACAAACCGAGTAATGTTGTGTATGCTGTTCAGTGTCAGGAGGGTGATCAGTCTTACATCGGGGAAACTAAACAGCCACTGGCCAAAAGGATGGACCAGCACAGAAGATCAACATCATCAGGCCAGGATTCTGCGGTCTACATTCATATATATCCAGGCCAGCGGTCACTCTTTCAGGGATGAAGATGTTCACATCCTGGATAGAGAGGAACGATGGTTTGAGAGAGGAGTAAAGGAGGCCATCTTTGTGAAAAGAAACCATCCATCAAACAGGGGTGGAGGCCTCCGCACTGTTATTGCTAGTGTCACTCAGCTGTCTGTGAATAGCAAGCGGCCATCAGAGCTCTAACAATGGGCTGTTAGGCTGATGGTCCTCTATCATGTGAACAATTAGTTTTGAATGTCAACCACAAACTGGTAGATCCACTATGAGAAGCTGCTATTTTTAAGACTGAGCTGAATACAGCTCCTCAGACTGAAGAAGTATTTTGGATTAAAGACTAAACGTTTCAACATGTTTTTTATTTTTATTTTTTGAATCCGTCCAGAGGACCTTACTTAAACTTTTTTTGATTTTCTACCTGGATTATTGAGCAAAGCATTATAAAGCTACTTTGCACACAAATGTAAGATCATCTTAATCATGCCAGAAAACAAGAACACAGTTTGTTATTTGAGATACTTCATAAACCCAGCTTGTGAGCGATCTTTTCTGGGCCAACCAAACATTTCTTTTTGTCTGCATACCTTAGCTAACACACTTCACAGGGGAACTCCATATTTTCAGGTCCAGTTTTTTCTCTCTGAGAACCAGAACCAATCTTCAGAATCAGAAGGGTTGAAATCTTTCAAATCGACAAGACATCACAACATGCATTTTAACAATTGTCCATGTAATTTTATTGTAATCACAATAGAACTGACAAATTTTTGTTTCAATATGGCTTATTTCGTCTTATCTCAAAGTTTTCATGTACTTCCTTTTCAATAAAGAAAATACATATTTTGTTCCCAATAAGTAATTGCTGAACTCTTTAGTAAAGGAAAAAAAACAAAAACAACATACTTGTAAATACTGCAAAATACTTTTGTGGTCAGAGCTTTTTGTAAGTGCATATTTGTCTCACTTTGACCTTTTTCCTTGCTGTCAGGTTGAATGAAGCCCCAGTAAAAGGCTACAGCAGAGATGTAGGGACCAAAACCACCCTGAGGATTACATATCCAGAGGGAGCCATCCAGAATCCTGAAAACTATGAAAAAGATTCACTTTTTGTCTTTCTTGGTTTCAAACCACTTGATTTCAGGTGGTTCAGACATATAGTCTTCAAAGAAAATGTGGTAAGCAAATATTTAAATTCTTTTTGGGGAATTAAAGACTGACTAATGTGTTTTTTGTCTATGAAGGATAGATGCTGATCTTTCGAAAGCAGCACAACTGATGGTCAGTATACAAAGCTGATATAGATAGACCAGATAGATTAGACAAATTACGGTGTAGTCTCCGTCTGTTTGTCTGTAAACTTTATCTTATCCCACCCTAACTTCTGATCAGCTCAAGATAATTTAATGAAACTTCACAACATGCGCATCATCAATAGATGGAGAGGCACATACACTTTTCATCATTGCAGCACCAAGGTCAAGGTCACAAATCAAGGTCAAAGTTGAAACAAGGAGGTGGTTAAATTTTTGATGATAAGATATTGTATCCAACAACCTGGGGCTTTGAAAATCAAACACCTTTTGTCCTGACAGTTATTTACAGCCTTATGGGAGGTCTTTACTCTAAATTCTGCACAATACCTAATTTCAATAAAAGACAGAAAGATAGACAGAGGTGCTAATGTCACTGTGTGAAGGTTTGGTGAATTAGACAAATGTGCAAAATCCATAATTGCATTCATAACTGAAAAACTCGAACTAGTAAAGTTGTCTCTCTCTACACCAATTTATGCACCATATAGAATATTTACTTGACTTGATCCTCCTCAAAATTTCCCCTGAAGTGGGAAAAAGTAGCTCTCGTGTTCTTTTCAGTTCTTTTGACATGTTTAAGAAAACATAAATCCCTTCCAGCAAGTATAAGAACATTTAGGTGGTTTAATAACATTCAGCAAGACAGTTTGAGAAAGGTTATTAATATGCCAATTTTTCTCCTCTTACCTTGCCGTTTAGTAATCCCTTTATGTCCCTCCAGAATTATAATACAGTTAAAGGCATCGCCGCCTAATCTCGGGTCAGTTTAAGCAGCAGAATAGTTTGAACCTTATCACTTTAAATATTATACATTAGCCAGCCCAGTCATAAAGGTTTGATTAAAAAAAAAAAAAAAATTCAATTATTTGCACAAAAAATCTCTCACAATTCATTTCAATGTTTTCTTGTTGTACAAGCTTCACTTAAAAAAAAAAAACATAATAATAATTTTGAGTCAACTCAAGGACTTTTCTTAGTAAAATCTCTTGGTTAGAGTGACAGGCCTGAGGGACTGTTTGGCTGTGAGCAGCAAACTGGTTGATCCATCATGACAAGGTGCTGCTTATAAGACTGAGTTTATTGCAGCTCCTCAGACTGAAGGTCTTTTGGACAAAAGACAAAACGTTTCAAATGACCCGTCCAGAGGACCTGACTTAACCAAGTTAGATTTATTTATCTGGATTACCAAACATGCATCAGGACATTTTTAGAAATGGTGTACCATTAATGAGAAAAAGGATTGTTTTTGGTTGACAGCAGAGTTCTCTGCTTTGTAATCTAAAACATTTACAGACTAAAGGCATATAGCTAACTTTACTGATGGTGAAAATTGTAAATGATGACCATTAAAGTCACATTTGACTGTTGAAGTGTTAAACTCCCCTTCATTTACTTGATTGAGGAGTCTTAAGTAATCCAGAGAAACAAGAAGGTCAAAAGTTTTTTGGTTTTTTTTGCACAGCTTTGTGATTTTTCAAAATGCACATTATCTGGAATTGTTACAGTGTAACTGTCGACAATATGGATTTGTAAAAGAAAATGAGGATTAAAACAGAAGGTATAAAGAACACTGCAGTTAATACAGAGAATGATAGGACACGGAAAGCCAAGCTGAGTTTGAATAATCGTGGATTTGGATTAAAGGACAAAAGAAACTGGATAAAGAGAAATGGGGCTGGGGGATAATAGCTGGAGAAAAGAAACTAAGTGGAAGGTAAGTGAAATAGAGGAAAATAGCTTGGCTGGCTGATGGCCCCTTCAGTCTTTGATAGGACACAGATTTTTCTGGTGTGTCAGAGGGAAAGGACAGTGGAAATGGCTGCTTGGGATAATTGATCTGGCCCCTGGCGTCTGTCTTGGCCCTTTGAACTGCTGAGGAAGGAAGAATTTTTCTTGTGGGTTAATAATCAGGGGCAGTTTGAAAAAAAAAAAAAAAAAATCACCTTAAGCTGACATTTTTCTGAAAGTCCAAGTCTACTAAATACAGTGGCACTACTCGTGTCTTCTGTCTAAAAATGTACACTTAAAACTTCTCTTTTTACCTTAAATTTTTTATTTAATTTCTTCAGATGGATGAAACTATTGCACTAAAGGGTTTGCAAACGACAAACTAAAAAAATACATTTCTAACTGCATCTCTGCTGCAGCGTGGGAGAGTTATTGGTGAAAAATGAAGGGCTCCTTTTGAGAGGAATGTTCCAGAGTTGGGAGAACACATACATCTAATGATGACTGACTGATTGATTCCTGATTTAACTGGCAGGCTCTGTTTTTCTTCCATCTGTCTACAGTTGGATCAGACCGTTTAGTTACTCGGCTCTTGGTTAATAAATGCTCTTTAGTTTTTAGCTATAGCATCCTTATCTCCTGCTGCAGAAAAGTGAAGGGAGACAAAGTTTTTACCCATATCTGTGCATGTTTCTTACCAAAACATCTCATAAACCACTAAACAGATTTTAAGGAAACTTACCTAACGTAATCATAGGATGTACGTCTCAAACTTTTGATGTCAGTATTATTCAAGATGGCTGCCACAGTCACCTGGCCATCAAAACAGACAAAATGTCAATTTTTTAAAATAGTTTACAGATATTTACCTAAAATTAATTGTGAGTGTAAAAGTCGTTCACAACAAATTCATTCAACCTTTATTTATTTATACAGGTTAGTCTCATTGAGCCTCAGGGACTCATTTACTAGACACCTGTAATACCAAATACTTAGTTACTGTGCAAAACCTTGGCTTAAAATTTTAGTGTCTATTGGAGTTAAGTGTGTTTGTCTTGCAAAATATCTACTGAACCACTGGATTCAGTGAAACATCTAGAGAGTAATCAATGAATGTACATTTACAACTGGTTAGCTTTAGGAGGAAATCCAGTTCAGTATGCCCACCACAGCTAATTCACATTAGGAAACAAAAAATACTTGTACCTTAGCCAGTTTTAAAAATAGAGCTACAACTGTATGTGGTTGTAACCAAAAGTCATATTGTTGCATTAGGACCAGGGGTGGCTGCAGGTCACCGGTCACCCAGAGGCCCCCTCTCGAACCCTGGACCCGTCTCCAGCCCACGTCGCTTCCCCCGACTCGAATCTCCCTCAGAATTGGCAACTCATACTAACAATAAATCAAGGAAACATGAATTCAGTTTTACCAATTGTATTAAAATCAAGGCATGAAAAGGTTACAGTTTACAGCGCTGGTCTCTCCGTTCTATGACACGTTCACAAACCCAGAAGAACCCCGATGTCCTGTGTCATTACTCATTTATAGGGTCCTAGACTCCTCCTTCGCAGAAGGGGAGCTCAACCTGTCAGCGTATGAGGGGGTGTGAGTGTGATCTCAATGGATCTTATGTGGACTGACGTATTAGGAAATATGAGATGGTGCTTCAAAAGGCCTTTCTACGTCATGTAGCAAGCAGATTAAACTATATTCCTTGACGGATATTGAATTCCAGGGAGTCTCTTTTTAGATTTGCTGGCCCAGTTTAACCCAGTCAGAACCGGGTCATAATTTCATTATAATCCCGTCTCTGAGCAGATCAAAACCACAGGACCAGTCTAGAAAAATATCTTAACAACTCCCCCAGGTTCTTTCAAGGTTTGGCCAAAACAGCTACAATTCTTAACACAAAGTAGTTTTACTCTAAGACTTGGGCATGACCATGGGTAGGTGATAATTCCTTCAAGAAAGGCCAGGATTTCACTCTTGCTGGGTTTTGGCGCATTTCATGACCACTCCTTCACTTTTGGTTTGATCGGCTGAATAAAATGAGTTTCTGAGGTGGACAAATTGAAATACTTCTTAAAAGTAGTCACATCTTGTTGACTCAATCTGGATTAAATTAATGAACGTAGAGAAATTTGCACTTCTTGTCTAAGCTTGTGTTGCCCAGACCATGTCAGCCATTGTACTGTGGACACAAGACAAACTGGGTCCTGCTCAATTAGCCCTTTGCCAAAAAGTGCTCCCATTTTATAGCCAGCTGTTGATGTTTTGTAGACTTAAAACCTGTGTGTATAGAAGTGCCAGGTGACTGATGCATGGATTTGTCCATCGTGATGTGTAATAATTTGCAAAAATACAATTTGTTCATCTTTGCTGACAGCTGAGAAAAGATCCCTCTCCCTGCAGTAAAAGAAGAAACCACCTGCACTGAAAACTCTCAGCCACTGTGCTGAGCTTTTGTTTATGTGCTCCATGGGAGGTTTCCGTCCTTTCTGAGGAGACATACCACTCCATTCAAACTGCCTACATGTCTCTGGAGCATGCCAGAACCAAGAATAAACGATTCAATACATAATGAAAATATTAATGGTTACTCTTTGTATTGAAGTAGCATAAACATATGAGTAAGCATGTGATAGGTATTGCATAACTATGCGTTTCCTGGGCAACAATATGTTTACTGGAAGATATTCAGTCTTGGCAGGAACATAAAAAGAACTGTGGTCCTGTTAAAGATCGGCATCCTTTCATTGTATACCACTTAAAATCATCAAAGACAAGTGCAGTGGAAAAATGAAGAGATTGTTGTTCATTTGAATGCTCCTCTTTGGAACGTTTCCCAAAACTTAAACTCATCAATACTACATTTTGTTCTTTTACTAAATACAAAACAGGGTAGGTTTAAACATTATACGGGACTGTGCACTGACGAATAATGTAAAATGTCTTAGGAATATCCTTAATTTCAGAATATTCTGCAGGACGTTCTCATCAAGTAGAAGCACTTTGTCCTCTTTTGGTTCTTTCTGTGGTTCTGTGGGGGATATATAATGTGACTGGACATGGGGCGGGCGATATGGCTCAAACATAATATTGTGATATTTCAGAGCATTCTGACGATAACGATA